GGCTAGGCAGAGACAAGCACGAGAATTCCTGGAAGCATGGCACTCCACGAAGCAGGCTATTAATAAACACATTGAACTCGATCCCCTATACATTCCACTATGGAGGAAACCCGGAAGTGAGACAATCCACCACAACGGACCCCAGAGTTTAAAAGCCACGCGGGAAAACACACCGACGCTTCATCAGAGGCTGCACGGAGGATGTTACCAAGCACGGTAACGAAACGTCTGCGGAACAACACACCAGCTCGGCGAGCCAACCGACCTCAACACCTATTAACCTCTGGTGTATCACAATAATATCACCTTCCATCCACCTACGTCTGCTTCCTGTATGTTTTCCCTTAGGAAAATCTTAAAATTGATAAACCAAAGAACTGCAGATACTGGCAGCATCAGTAGAGAGAAAGCAATCAGCACTTGGGGTTCAATGACCCTTCTTCAGAACACTAACTCAGCTTTCTTTCCACAGATGCTGTCAGACCTGCTGACTTTTTCCTGCAATATGTTTTTGTTTCTTCCTAAAATGGTCCGCTTTCCCCATATTGAATGGTCTTTGGTATCTGATATGATCTCACCAAAGCTACCAACTTCATCCTTCCCTCTAGCCAGCATCTCAGGTTGAACCAGATCATTCGCAACCTCAATGTTATATTTGACAATTAATAAGCTTCCCATTATGTATCCATATCATTACGAAGGTCAGACTTCAGAAGTTAACTGATTTTCTTTACAAAAGGTACTGCCTGACCTGTTCAGTATTTCGAGTATTTTTGTTTTTAGTTCAGATTTCCAACATTCAGAATTTATTTTTCTTTCCCTTCCATCACTAAGACTACTGAATTTCAATTCTGTAAATTCACAAGACTACACCCAAGCTTCTGTCCAGCATATATTGAAACTCTCATTCTGTCTTTGTTACCTCTAGATTTGATTATCCAATGCACTCCTGGCTAGCCTCAATATTCCCCTCGGTGTAAACTCTAAGTCATCCAAAATTCTGCTGCCTCTGCCCTTAGTCCAAGTCCAATTTGCCCATGACCGTGCTTAGCCAAGAGCCAGTACAGAACAATGTCTCAATTTTAAAATATTCAGCCTTGTTTTCAAAGACCTCCGTAGCTTCATTCCTTCCCATCTCCAATCTACCTAGTCCAACAACTCGTCAAAATGCTTGGCTTCCTCCATTTCTGGCCTCTTGAGAATCACCAATTTTAAACAGTTTCACTAATGATGGCTGTTCTTTCAGCTGCCAACATCTTAAGCATTGGAATTTCCTCCCCAAAGTTCTATTACTTTACATTTCCTCCAAAATGCTCAATGCCTTGCCCTTTGGCCAGGTTTTTGATCATCAGCCCTAATTTCTTGTGTGGTTTGTCAAATTAAAAGCAGGGGAGAATCAAGTAATATCACAGCTGTGAAGCAGCAGACTTGGTGACCGGTATCTGGGATTTCAAGTTCATCTCTTGGATGCTGAAGTTTTGCACCATCTTTACAACAGAATTATCTGCTTTCATATCATATGGAGGGTCATTCTGAAGTTCTGCCTTCTAAAGCTGTTGGGTCAGGTTTTGTTTATTTCAATATTGGTGCACACTCCCTACCACCAACTGAAAATTATGTAAATATATTTCCTGAAATGGTATCCTTAACAAACTAAAATAAACAAAATTCAACACTCTGCAGAAAATGATGCACAACATTATAGCACAAGCATTAAAATGTCTCAAAATCTGAAGAACAGAAAAATGACTTGCCTTCAGATGATGGGGTGACAGCTCTATTCACAGCAGGGCTGGCTGATGTAGGAGAAACAGCGGCAGCAGGCATGGCTAGAGATTCAGCTGGGACACTGCCAGCCTGTGGAGAAGATAAGGTCATTCCACTTGAAGCATTTCCAGGACTATACTGGGATGGTTGGTTACCATGTCTAGGAGATCGTGGTCGGTGTGTTTTGGGAGATAAACGGGCACTTGACCCTGAAGTTTCAATGGAAAAGTTAAATCATTTCAAGCGACTATTGTACCTTAAATAAGACGCATCCAAATTACGGAAAAGTATTCTAAACATAATTAAATTGATGGCTCTGTAATAAACAGTTTCAAACAGAAATTCACATTTTTGTTAACCAGTTTACACTAATGGGCAAGTGCAACTGTAACAAAAATTGTGGAATGAAACACAATGAAAAACAGAAAAATACCAAAATGGGATAGACCGTTTGGCTCCTCTCAGTTTTCTTTATTGTAATATGCACAACTGTATTGATTGGCTTTGAACTAACCCAATTTTAAAAATTCTTGATGGGCAAGTTAACTCAGCCAAAAATAAACACGCTTGGTCGCTACTTAATTGAAAGTTGCTGCGATTTTGATTAATGTACAAGGACTATTTATTCATTCATGCCTGGGATGTTTAAATTATCTGGTTTTCAAATTCCATTATACTTGGCTGTTGAATTTTGAGAGTTTGGATCTTTGAATAGGGAAAGTTTAAACGCATCACTCATTGCAATTTTGTTAAGACTAACTTGAGATATAATCCTACTCGGTTATGTTGACATGAGGGACCATTCTAATTTTGATAAACCACTTCAGTCAACAAAATAAATGGATAGAATATAAAGAGACATAAAATTACTGAATTTAAATCAATTTATCATGCATTTAATGTATACATTTATACTCAAATTTGAACAGGTAAATAGTTGCAGCTGCCTATCCACACAGCTTTGGTAACTAGCCAGACTTGAAGTGCAAATGTGGAAATAGTGGCGTGGACTTCTGTACTGCAATGGAGGCTCATAGTAGTGGAGGAAAAAGCACAGACATTGCAACCTTACAACATCAGTGTAATGGTCAGTTTAGTCCATCAGTGCAGGCCTATTTGTTCGAAAAGATTCATAAGAACTAGGCTTAGTCTGTCCTAATTGATTTTAAATGGTTTAGGAGTGGCAGAATCAACACATCTCAAAAAGTTGAGAACGCAATCAAATTCAGTTACCTAACTGTACGAGTCACTTCAATTTGAAAAAGCCTGCCATTTTAAATTACAAGAACAAACTAAAATAGGTCTACAATTTTTATTACAGATATTGACATGCTATTGAAGGCACTGTATACAAGCACTGAGAAAACACCGCAGCCTTCAGTGAAGAAAACAAATATTGAATTAAACTTCATTTTCTACAGAAATGTAAATTAACTACATTCCCACAAAATTGTTGGACACCAAAATTCACCGAGTGAACTCTAACGCAAGACAACATACTATAATTTCTCTTTCAGAACTACTGTCAACACATGTCCAAAAAACAAAACCCCAAATCTTCTGTTCTTGCAAACTACAGCCTTTTCCCTTCAAATTTCTTGAGCGTGTTGCCTCCTAAATTCATGCTTATCTTTCCTGCAAGTCCATATCTAAGTTCTCCAATCAGGTTTCCATGCTTCCATGCTAGAAATTGGACCTAAGCAAAGTCACAAATAGTGTATTATTCCTCCTTGCCCTCAACTTCTCTACAGCTTCTGATAATGTCAGTCCTCCCTTCTTCTACTGTCCAGCTTTGAGACTGCCCTTACTTGGTTCCACTCAACTATCCAATCAAAGACAAAGCAAATGCAGCAATGGCTAATCTTCTTGACTTATCATTAATGTAGATGCTTCTACCTGATTAGTCCTTGGATACCTCCTATTTCTTATCTACTTATTGCCCCCTGGTGACATTATTCAGACATGGGATCAGCTTCACCATGCATGCTGACAACTCAGCTTTCTCTCTCTCCACCACATTTCCTACTGTCACTGCCATGTGCTGTCAAAGCGCTCAACTAACAGTCTTACATGAACTGAAATTAACTGGGTTAAACATGAGTAATAACAAAGTCATTGTGTGTTGATATGATTTAAATCGTTCGTTTGCCATTGTGCAATTCTGAATTAGGCTGTTTGCTATCTCAAGGTCTCCAAAAGAGCTCCCTGCTGTGCTCTGGATGTGTATTCCATCACAAAGATGATCACATAATACAACCTACACCTCTGCTTCAGCTCACCACCCGGTGAAATGCACATCCATGTCACTTATCTTCAAACTCAAGTAAAATCCCGACATTTGTTTTCACTATTAGAAATTTGTTTATCTGCTCAAAGCATTCTGTGCACTGTATCATCCACTGGAGTGTTAATTCTTGATACACAATTGTCATAGGATACAAGCATAGCAAAACGTTTCATTCAAAGAAAATCCAGTTCCTTTATCCATGCTTTCTGTTTTTGTGACTTTTGCTCAACCGGAACCTCTCACCCAAAAGAGCAAAAACTCTGATACACTAAGCCTTAAAACTCAATAAAACCCAACAAATGTTATAGCACCACTGCAGTACAGCCCAGTCAAATTACTATCGTGTAGGTATTGTTAAAGCAGATTGCAACAGTAATTGACATTCTTTAAAGCACCATTTCTGCTATAAAGCTTCCGATAAAGGTTTAAAAGAAACAAACAAAATAAAGTAGAATAGAGCTATCTCAATACTCCATCTAACTTAAGTTTTGTAATTTTTAAAATTCTGTGTGGGTCTCTGAGGTCCGTGCACAGCATCAAGTTCTGAAAGTGGAAGTTTTTCCTGCCAATCTTCTGTTCCAGCTCCCTTCATGCCCCACCGAAGTACTCACTCTCCCAGTACTCACTCTGGATTGCCAGTTGTCTTTTTCTATTTTTCTACATCTTACAGTACACTAATCACCAGCTTATGAGCGCTCCCTCATTGGCACTTGATCTGTCTTATTTCCAGGGTCAACAGGGCATCCATTCTTGTTAGACTGGACACACATGCTGTAGGAAATTTTCCTAAATATTTGCCTCTCTCCATTCTTAATGCCATTGCCATCCCAGTCTACACTCAGTAAAGTCCCCTGTACAACTCCTCTCTAATGTTGATATCTCTATTTTCCAACAGATTTGCTCTTCTACATCCTTCCCACAAGTAAGTGGTTTATAAAGTACATTGAATAAAGTAATCACAACCTTTTTGTGCCTTAGTTCTAGCTCGATTAATCGTCTTTAAACCCTCTGGGTCATTCTCTTAATCAATATCACCACATCATTCCTTCCTTTTCCATCTTTTCTGAATACCTTGTACCCAGGAATATTTAATATCCAGTCCCACCCTTCCCTTTGCCAGTTGTGTCATGGCCACATCACATTTCATCATGGCAATTTGCACCTGTAATCTACAATTTTATTTACTGTACTCTGCATTTACATACATGTACAGTACCCTGATTTTGACTTCAGTCCTTTCTGACTTACTTCAACTTAACCTACGAAGTTATTCTCTATGCTACTGTTGTCTGTCTCTAAGTATTTTGTGAAGCGTGGTATTCTTCTCTAATACTGTCTCATGGTCCCAGCTCTGGAACTCATTCACAGCTCTGTTCAGGTGCAACATCCAACTTATATTGGTGTCATTTTCCCCAGAGCCCCTCCTGCACCATCTTTCCAGCCATTCATTTATCTGCCTTATTCTTCTATTTCTGGACTCACCTGTAAGTGGCAATGGGAGCAATCTAGAGATTACTACATTTGAAGGTCTGCTTGGTAACGTTCAACCTAGCTCTCTAAATTCTGACCTCGGGACCACATTGGTACCAACTGATAGAAAGGGCAGTATGGACCAGAACTCCTGTATGTTCACCGTCTCCCAGAAGACTGCTGTGCCGATTTCCTTGACTCTTGAGCACAAGGGAGACAACATAACATCCTGCACTCATGTCAGTGGCCACAAATGTCCAACCGTATCCCCTGCCCCGCCACCTCAAATTAACGAATCCCTTATCACTAATGCCTCTTCTTCCTCCTGTATAGCTGAACCGTTCATGTTGTCACAAAATTGGCTCGGAGTACATTTCTTGAGGGACCAGCAACCTCATCAGCTTCCAGAACAGAAAATGTATTTGATAGCAGGACCCCAGGAGATTCCTGCATTACATGCCTGTTTCTCTCGGACTACACTGGTTTCTTTTCTGCCTCCAGACATCTAAGCTGTAGTGTGACCAACTCACTGAACATGCTATCCCTACAACACAGCCTCACAGATATGCCACAGTGACTCCACACTGCCCAATCTCTGAAACCTAGTGCAGTTTCCTACAGCTGGTAGCACGTAGTTGTCTAGGACATCAATAAGTTCAATAAGTTCCATTAGTTGGCATTTTTACAGGTTACGCATTTCACTCAATTGAACTGAGCCAAGTCTTAAACTTACTTCCTTTACTATACGTTGGATTACTTATATTACTTCATTATATTAGCCCTAAATTTCCCTTATTACTGCTATCAACTCTGCTGGAGTCATACCTGGCACACAGGAAGACTGTTGCGGTTGTTGGAGATCAGTCAGGGTAGTTGACTAGGTCCAACTATCTTCAACTGCTTCAATGGCCTTCCCTCCACCACAAAGGTCAGAAGTGGGGATGTTTGCCAATGATTGCGCAATGTTCAGCACTATTCATGACTTCTCAGATATTAAAACAATCCATGTTCAGATGCAACGAGACCTGGACAATATCCAGGTTTGAGCTGACAAGTGGCAAGTAACATTAAGCGCCGCACAAATGCCAGGCAATGTCTCTTATTGATGATGGTCAATCTAACCACCATCCCTTAACATTCAATCATGTTACCATCAGTGAAGCCCCCACTATCAACATGCTGGAGATTACTATCGACCAGAAACTGAACTGGATTCACCATATAAGAACACGATAGAAGCTAGGAATACTGCAGCAGGTAACTCACCTCCTGACTCAAAGGCTGCCCACCATCCACAAGGCACAAGTCAGGAGTGTGATGGAATACCCCCCACTTGCTTGCCTGGATGAGTGCAGCTCCAACAACATTCAAGCAGCTTGACACCATCCAGAACAAAGCAGCATGCTTGGTGCCACATCCACAAGCATCCATTCCCTTACCATGTATACACTGCTGCAACTGAGTGTCATATATACAAAATGCACTGCAGAAATTCACCAAAGTTCCTTAGACAGCACCTACCAAGTCCGTGATCACTTCCATCTAGAAAAGACAGGGGAAGCCAACACATGGGAACACCACCACCTGCAAGCTACTTACTACTCTGATGTGGAAATATACGCTGTTCCTTCGGCATTGCTGGTCAAAATCCTGGAATTACCTCCACACAGGCAGCAGTGGTTCAAGGTGGCAGCTCACAATCACCTTCTCAAGGGTGACTAGGGATGGCAATAAATACTGGCTAGCCTGCTTCCTTCGGTTATTAAAATATGCTTTTCTAATTTACAGTCAGTTAAATACTGTCCCAATAGCAGTTTCCTGCCAATGATTTTATGGATTTTCTGAGATGTAACTGTTGCTATTCCTCTTGAAATCATTGCAGACCGTTTCCACACAGCTGAATTGTGCGCCATTTGGATTCCTAAGTAAGTGGTTGAGTTTTTGCACCTCAGCCCCAATTTATAAATTCTCTCTCGTAGATGCTCCATTGCAGGTCTGATGTCTTTTAGACTTGCAGGCAAACCATGTTTGTTGTTCATGATTTCATGACTTGTAACATTCACCAAGAATGCATCCTTTCTGAAAGGTAAGACCGTACCATATCCTGAGGCTTTCCAAGTTAGTTATCCATTCACCTTAGTCTGTGAATTCATCCAAACATTTACCGCTGATAAGCCATGCTGTTCCCACTCTCACCCTTCCTGATCTACACTTGCTCATTCATCAGTCTCTCTGATTCTCATAGCCTTACATCTTCCAATCTCTAATCTCCTCTATCTCCACATGATATTGTCCCTCCCATCTCCTCCAGCAAACTCTCATTTGACTCTGGCCACATGCTCCAGAACTGGTAAATCTGAACTTGTCTATTCCTTCATTTGTTGTATGCAAAAACCCCTCGGCCAAGCCTCTGATCACTGCTCTAATATCTCCTCTTTGGTTTTGTGATCCATTTTTGTCTGATTAATACGGAAAAGCCTTCCAAAGGCAGAAAGTTGCTCCCTAAATACAATTTGTTAATGCTAAAAAAAAAAAACACCTGTAGATTAGGTGATAAACTGAAATGAGTTAAATCCAACTTTTCAAATTTAAGTAGATTTACCTCCACTGACGACAGATGACCAAGTCCCTCCTGAAGGGCTGTTTCGTGGGACAGGAGCAGAAATTTCTCCAGATACATTGTGGCCTATGAAATCTGAACCTGAAGACATGCCAGTTCGACCAGAGGGACCTCTATGACGAGGATGGCGCTGTGCCTTCGGAGACATTCGTGGCGGACCTTGATGACAAAACAAAATACAATTAATATTAGTACATGAAAAATGGCAAAGAAAATGAGAGACTGATGATCTCCAAATTTAAGTTTACAGACTGGGAGCTTCCTAATATCTTTACACTCACATGTCGCTTGCAGAAATAGGGTACTCAGAAGATAATATATCATTGCAGTTCATAAAACCACAGACTTTTATTGCTGCTCATTCACTGATTTGAACCATTCAAAAAAGTCTGAATTTACAGACTTACATGAATGTCCAGTACTGAAATAGGCCACCCAGCCCAAGTTATCTATGCAACAGTCTATGCTCCAAAGATACTGTCATCCTACTTCATCTAATGTCAGCAGGGAAGGCAGAGGTATTAAATGCACCTTATAGATCGAGAAGGCCTCAAGTTCAACCTTCAATGGACAAGTATAATGGGCAATAGGAATCTGCAAATGGACATAGTCCAGGAGACAGGGAAAATAACTTTAGCAGAAAAACAATGATTCTTATTTACTACACCATTAGCTCTACTGAAAGTATACAATTGAAACAATGTCAAGGGAATCAGGTTCAACAGTGACATTCTCCAGAAAGCTTTCTGTAATCATCTAGCCCCTGCTCATATTAATATTTCTGAGGTCACCTTTAGGAAGCTTAAATTTGTACTGATAAGGTAATTAAATGCTGAATTTTACCTTGGATGCCATCTAACCCAAGAAACCATCATGGTTGAGCCTGCACTGCAACTGGCAATTGGCAACAGATATATCTGCCTGCTTGAAGCTGGGGAAGCTACATTCCCTGCAAAGCCCATTCTGGTGCTCACTTACTACACATTTGCGCTTCTCAGCGAGTACGTTAATTAGCTGTGATTAGGACCAGAAATTCACCCCAAGTGATTTTTCTTCCCTCCAGTTCCGTGGCATAACAGCACTCTCAAATAACCACATTGGGTACTACGTAGATCTCTTTTTAAAGTACATAAGTAAACCGTTACACAATTTAGATTATACACTATATGATTGAATCTTCAGCAACCTGAAAAATCACACATAGTACTGTTTACAAAGCTCTTACACAAGTACAAGCATTAACTTGTACAAATCAATAACCCTACACCTCCAAGTTAATTTTCTTCCTTAGCATTGGAAAAGTAATCATTTTCAAATGATTAGCACTCAAAATAGAAACCATCATTAAATCTTTTAGTCAGTAATCTTCTAAAAGTAATTTGCTTCAATGACATACCACATGTAAGAAATGTTTAAGCAGCAATAAACGTGCAGCGAAGCTGTCATACAAGTTGGCCCCTCAAGCAGCCATACAGCAATATCTCAAAATATTAATTTTACAAATGAATGCAGTTTTGCACACTAAAACAGCAACAAGTGCACTAAAAACAGCTTTAGCTCAGATTACAAGATCGCCCAAATTCATGTAAAATAATCACAACTAAACTAACCTGCATGTAACTTGGGAGAATGTTACCTGGTTGAACTGATTTGATCAATAAAAAAATTGAAAATATGCAGGTCAGGTAACATCTCTGGAGAAAGACTTATTGCTCTAGGTTAATGATCTCTACAGATGCTGTCCAACATGCTGAGCATTCCTAATATTCTAGTATTTTTATTCCATTTCCAGCAATCAGTACTTTGCTTTGGTTTTGTGTTGGAGTTCTCATCTTCTGCTGCTCAAGGAAATGTCCAGAATGTTACACTGGAGATCCCTATTAAGTGGTTAGTTCAAATTGCCTATTACGTTAATTTCATCACTTTAAAATTCATTGGATAAAATTTGGGAGAAATAAGACAGATCCTAAAGAAGTAATTTTTCCCCACAATACCTAAACATTAAAATAATGGCTAATTCTGCAAAAAAGTGTCCAAGGCACTTTTAAGAAGTGAAAGCTGTAGATCAATCTGGACTAGTCACTGATGAATTTGTGAAGCTACAATGAGCTCTATCACTTAGTTATTTCAGACATTTATTCTTCAACCCACAATTCCCACCACCAAACTAACCTACACATAGTGTAAATGAAAAAAATCTCAGATTCAGTGTCACAGTAAAATAATCCTATTTGAATGTCAGAAGCAGCTCTTTGGATTTTAGGCAATTATTTTTTCAAGCCAAGTAGTGTAACCAACATGCAACCACTAAGCATCACACAACCTTCTCAAACACATTTATATAATTGCTCATTTCCAATAACAAAAACATATTTAAAGGAAGTGGATACAGACAAGGTAATAGCAAGCAAGAAGGATTAAAACGTGCTTAGTTTTCAAACGTTACACATGTTGCAGGGTAAGAAACAAAAAAACTATTATATAACAAGGAAATTAAACAAACATATGGAAGGACTAACTGCAGTACCTTCTGAAGACATGCGTTTAGGCATAGTAGAGACAGGAGCTGGAGAACCATGAGCAGAGGGGTGAGACGGAGGCCTTGAAGGCCGTGAAGGGGGCCTGGAGGGCGGCCTGGTAGGAGTGGCTGCCCGAGGTGGAAGAGAGTTGGGAGCTGATTGGTAGCGAGAAGGTGGGCGTGAGGAAGGAGATGGGCAAGGCGATGGCCAGGCAACACCTGACAGAACAAATGATATGAAGGAAAGTAAAAACTAAAGAAAAATATGGGAATAAGTAACAAAAAAAATGACATTATATACAATTTACAAGACAATAAATAATTATAAGATAATTCACACTTTTTCGTCATTTCAAAACATAATGCACACTTAAAAATATATGCAGTATACACAGTATACTGGCACACGGACAGAAAAGTCATATCCAGCATTCTATTTAAAAAGTCTTATACCTCAGCTTTTTGGAAAGTAAAACAAAGCTTTTAATTTATCTTAAAATGGAAGAAAAATGTATTTTGAAAGCAAGTACTTCTAATGTGCATGAAGACGTCCATACTTAATAAATTTGTCACAATCTGACTTCTTGCCTTGTCCTGAGGTGCTTTTCTCAAGTGGTGCTCCATGAACCATTCAACGTGAGATGTTAATAAAGTTCTACAAAAATATTTAAGAAATGCTGCATCTATAGATGGCAGCACAAAATGCCACTGCATTCAGTACTATAAATACACAAACCAACATTCGTTAATTAGCAGAGATATTCATTACCACAAGAACTTGGGGGTCATGAAAAAATTCTCTCTACAGACAGGTACTGAATAATAGTGATTGCTAAGTTCCTTCAACTTATGAGAAATGTAGAATACAAAAATATGCCAAAGTATTATTTAGTGTAAGCTGCAAGGCTTATGAATCTAAATTTTTATTTTGCCAGAAATATTTAGCAGTTGCATAAAAAGAGAGGAAGAAACCACACTCAGTCAACTGTTTTGAAGAAGTTTAGAATTCATCAAGGCTAAGACTGCCAACAGTAAGGCACAGAACATCTCAATTCAGGTTCTGAATACTAAAATAAAGTACTCCACCACTTGACATAACCAAATGTGAAGAGAAATGGTATCTACTTCGGTTTCCCCATATATCTATGCTCCAACTGGTGGTTTTTTTTCCCCCTATTTCTCAAATCAGCCATCTTGCAGCTAACTAATAAAAATAAATTCTAAATGTTGTGCTGTCATCCTGACTGGACGAAAGGCAGTTACTTCAGATGAAATTATGAGTGAACCTACTGTGCCACACATTATCCTTGTAGTGGATGGCCACTACAACAATAAATCCACAGACTAGTCTACTTTTTAATAAAATGAGTTTTACCCTGGGAATGAAATCCATACAGCCCCAAAAATCAACTACCAATGTGGTCATTTTAAATAGAAAAAAAGTGAATAATTGCTGTAAACATTCAAATCATCCATCTGTGTTCTACTTTTCAATTTCAAATTAAAATTTACTTGTATTATTGTTCCTTTATAATAGCTGAAATATAGACTTCAATTTCATTGAAGAACTTCTGTTGCTTCCTGTATTTTCAATCCTTGATATTGTCCAGTTAATACCAGAGAAACCAAATCTAATTCAAAGAAATTTTGTTAGGTAATTTTACATGCTCTTAAGATTCAGGTATATGACCAACTGTGCTCTAATTCACATTGATCATCATGTCAAATGGAATTGACTACGGGATAAAAGGAAGTTTGAAATTAAATATGAATAGCAACTACCTATGGCACTGAAAATTCACAGATTACAACTTCTAGTTATCAAACCAGCCAATTCCTAAATACTAAATAATCCAAACAGTTGGTATTGAAATATTTCAAAGCATGTTGATTTGTGTGCAGTAAACCAATGTACATTAGAAGTCAAAGCCATGTGCATTTTTATACCTGAAGACTTTACCTAAAACCTCTTTATAAGTCACAATTATCTTAAGTGTGCTTACAAAGCAGCTTATGCGAGAGTGGAGAGGGAATTCCAAAAGGATAAACTTTCGGACAAATAATTGAAAACTGTGGTTAAAATTAAATATTAAGGTATCATGTATAATCACTATGAGTTCTCAAGAACTTTTAGTTTGTCAGAAGCACAGAAATATGTCCTGAGTTTTTATTAAAGGTACATTCACAAAAAATACTTTTGTCCATCTTGTGCATTTATAAATACTCGTGCTAAAAATAAACATTGCTCTCAGCTGTACCTATATGTTCAAATACTCTTGGTACCACAGAAAGTATGCCATATACAAACAATAAAAGTCACCTATGGTGGACCTAGACAGACCCCAAGTGAAAACTAAACAAGCCTTCTTCCTGAGACCAATTTGGATTTAAATATGCACAATTATACAATAATGTATTTTAATAACCTCAATACACACTGCAACATCCATTTTAAAAAGCACAGGATTTCTAACAGAATCAGATATAAGGCCCATTTATGAACTTGCCAATATTTTAGTTCTACATACTGCAGAACCAAATGAAAGTTCAGATTGCACTGTCCAAATGTGCAACAAACATTATTGATAAATATCTCAAATTGAAGTAAATACTTGCCTCCATTAACAACTCTTTGGTCTGTCCCAGAATTAGGATTGTAATCTGGTGTATGAGATCCAGCCCGGGAAGGCGGTGGGCCTGAGCTGGACTGTCCAATCCTTGGTGAATGCTGTCTTGTACTTCCCCAAGACATTCCATCCCTATTTCTTTGCCCTGGTGGAATGTATTTATTCTCCCTATGTGAAAAAGAACATCACTGATCTAAAATAAAACAGCAAGAAATATTGAATCTGTATAAAATGAAGAACAATTAAACTATATCCTCTCTAGTTACCATTGCTGAAGTGTGAATATGAATGGGAATGCAATGGGGTATTCAGTCATTGGGAGGATCACAGAAAAAGATAAGTTGCAACTTCACCCAATACTTTCAAACTTGACCTTCAGATAGACAAAATAAAAACTGCAGATGCCAGAATCCATGTAGACAAACAGGAGGCTGGAAGAACACAGCAAGCCAGGCAGCATCTGAAGGAAAGGAGCAGTCAACATTTTGGATATTATCCATCTTCAGGACTGCATGTTGGGGCTGGGGGAGCTGCAGATAAAGAGAGCTGGGAAGAGGAGTGGAGGTGGAATGGTGGTACTAGACCTTCAGATAAGTAAGAACAAAATCCTGAATGGTTACTTTTCCACCACCTGATTGCAAAAAGCACAATTATTGAATTCTTAATTGCTGTTTTGGCTATAAAGATTATATTTCTAGAACTGTTTCATTATTTGCTGCCTTCAGATTCATTGTTGTAATACATTATTCTAATGTATTGATTTTAAGTATCTTTTGTACAGGAAAAAATAAAAGTTGACATTTACAATAACCAAAAATATTTCAAGGTCTGACTCAAGTAGAGAAAGTAAATCACACTCTTTAAATTCCATCATGCTCTGGTTTAAACAGTGTGTGTGTAAATACATAATTGACTCTATTTTTATCATACTCTCTAGCAGGATAATATATATAGGGAGCCTACAACCAAGGGAGAGCAATTTCAAAACAAGGGGTTAGCCCCCTAGGACAAAGTTAAGATTTGTTTTTACTTAGAAGGCTGTGAATCGTTGGAATTCTCTACCACATAGGGCTATGGAAACTCAGACATTAAGCCTGTTTAAGGCACAGATTGACTGATCTCTAAATATGAAAGACATGAAGGGATAAGGGGATAATGTCAGCCAAAGGCTTTGAAAGAGATGATCACCCACGATTATGCTGAATAATGGAGCAAGATCAACAGGCTGAATGGCCTGCTGCTATGTTCCTCAGGATGGATGGGTACTCAGTGTGAAGTAACATTATCCAAGTCAACTGCTAGGTGATCTTCATTCATTGAAAATCCATTGAAAGGTATTTACTCTCATCTTGCATACAATGTCCTCTTGCATTCTTCACATGACTCAAATCAATTAATCTTGGATAAATCACTTCCGCTTTAGCTTTAGCTCTTGCTTCATGTTATTTAGGCTATACTCATAACTTTCCTAGGGTTCTCCAACTGGCTTATCTGTTTGCGTCTACTAGACCGATTCTTGGGATGTCAAGACTGATGTCAGTTAGGACTATATTCGCTGGCGTTTAGAAGAATCGGGCAGTGGAGGAAGTCACAAATCTACAAAATTCTAACACGGCTACAAAGCTTAAATGCAGGAAGGATGTTATCAATGATTCAGGAATGCAGAAGCAGAGGTCCCTGTTTAAAGATATGGGATAGGCCATTTAAGATTTTAGGGGGTGTGGGGGGGCAGTGGGAGTGGAGAAGGGGGCAATTTCTTCACCCGGAGTGTGGTGAGCCTGTAAAATTATCTGTCATCGAAAGTGGTTGAGGCCAAACGTCAAATGTTTTGAAGGAGACATTAGATACAGCAGTCCCCATTTCATGAATGCTTGTGTTTACATATGCAAACCCACACAGGGGTGTAATTTTAATGATTAACATACAAATATTTCTTCTACTTAGGAACAGCTCCTTTATATTGTCCTCCATGTTCCAACTTGCGTACAAATCAACTTGCAAATGGACTCAAGAACAGAATCCATTCGCAACCCAGGGATTGCCTTTACATTTCTTGGGACCAAAGGATATGGGTGAAAATGGGATCAGGGTACTGAGTTGGATGATCTGCCACCATACTATTGAATGGCAGAGCAGGGTCTAAGGACCGAATGGCTTGTTCCACCTATTTTCTACGTTTCTATGTATTACCGAAAGCCAGGTCCAACATTTTGAATTATTTCTCTAAATGCTTCCCACTATTATTAACTCCCATATATTTCTGTTTATTTACTGAATCCACCTTAGCCAGATGGTCATTCATAACTTTGCACTTGGCTTTAAGATTCTTTTAATATGGAATTACATTGTATCCTGATCCCTTTACCCATCCACCCCAGAGAATTTTCAATAATGAGATCGGTAATTAAATGCTGCAGAATACCACATCTGTAAAGAAGTGAGATAGTACCTGGGGCTGACAGCATGGCTCTCTTTTTCATTCGGAGATCTTTGTACAGCTGTGTATTTCTCCTCTTCCGTCCTCTCGTCATTTTCTAATGCAACTCTTGCCTTATACTGGGCACTTGATTCTATTTCTTCAGCAAGTTGAGCTGCTCTAGCTTCACGTCGTAAAAATTCTTCAGAATTATCCCTTTCCAAAGGTACTCTGTGCGAGATATACAGATAAAAGAAGTTACAGAAAACCACAACAAATAAAGACAATGAAAATCTTAAGACCTATTAGGAATAAGATGAAGAAACACTACATTTCAAAAAAACACACGATAAAGATAACAAAGGAATGCAAAGAAAGTGAGAAAAGGAAGGATAAAATTAAGGATAACAAGGTGTAGAGCTGGATGAACACAGCAGGCCAAACAGCATCAGAGGAGCAGGAAAGCTGACACTTCGGGTCTGGACCCTTCTTCAGAAATGGGGCTTCGCAGTGGAGTTAAAATCGATTCAGAGATAGCAGAAACTGCCGATGCTGGAGAATCTGAGATAACAAGGTGCAGAGCTGGATGAACACAGCAGGCCAAGCAGCATCAGAGCCATTTCTGAAGAAGGGTCCAGACCCGAAACGTCAGCCTTCCTGCT